GACTCAAATCATGACCTATTCAATTTTAATGTCTAAATGATGTTTAACCAATTAAATTATAGCATGTCATTTAAAATATTTGAAATGATTTTTAATTTAATTCTTCATACTTTAATATTTAGTCCATTTAACGACGTGTTAGAGTGTGATTTTTATAACTACAAGAATCTGAATCTAGGTAAATCTGAAAAATCAAACAATTTTTCTCTGATTTTACCACTAGGGGTGTGGAGATTGAAAGGAAACCCTAAATTAGAATGGATTTGTTAAAAAAGAAAAATGTTTGAAGTTTGTTAAAGTACATTAGAAGTTTTTGATAATTTCCTCAGGTATTAATGTCACGACCCAAAATGGGGCGGGTTAAACTAAAAACTAAATTTAATTAAATGAGATTAATTAATAAAATTCAAAAAAATAAATATTTATAAAATAAATATTAAAATATATTGCTCTGAAATCTTTTATTTTAAAGTAATTACAAAACACTTCAAAATATATACAACTTCTCAAAATGATACAACTCTGGGACAATGCCAACTAACACGGTTTACATACACTAAATACAGTACAACTTAGAATTAAAAAAAAAACATGAAATCCTAATAAACAAACCATCTTGAATCTCGAGCCTTCAGTTTATTGTCGTAAACATATTGCGCTGCAAATCAAACTGCTAACTCTGGACGGGGGGAAAACATTTAAAACAAGGGTAAGCCAAATGATCATAAGGGGAAACATGGATAACGACAATAAAACAAGAAAAGTAAAATAATCATAGAGACTTAGACACAATCGAAACTGAGATGCATAACTCAAATGCTAGAAATGGTAATATGTGAAAAATAATCAAATTAAAACTGATGCAGTCGAATGCAGAGTCAAGCGGTTAATCAAGTATTTGAAAATTCTTTCAAAATACTGTATCAATTTCAAATCCATTTTAAAAGTGAAGGAATCCGGTATCTAAATAGTCTATAACATTCTAGATATTTTGTAATTCTATTAGACCTTGGATATTCAAATCAAATGATAGATAAGTAGAGAATAAATCATATGCCGGTTGTTTGAATACTCTTTTCAAAGTACCGAGACGTAGTTTAGTGCGAAGCCTCACCACCCATGGTGCAGAGCGGCCCGTATGGGTTTCGGGACCTGCCCCTAAGAATACGATCTCCATATCCCGATCTCTGTAGCCACCATGCTAAAACCAACTATCTAAAATGCTCATTAAATAGCGTTTGAAAACTCATTTATCTCGTGCTCAAATTATCCCAATCCGAGACTAAATTCATTTCTTTTTTTTTAGTTCTCTTTCAAAAAGCATGACTCGCGAACTCGGGTTTTTAGAAAGATTTTTCATATACATAATCTCTATATATATTTAAGTACATTTATAAATGAAGATCCTTTTGAATTCTCAGAGTCGACGTAAACCGAGTTTTAAACTGAGAAGTAAAAATCCATGAAATAAGTCTAAAAAGGAAGAGAAATGCAATCTCATACTAGAACAAGATCAAAAGTCAAGAAATGGACGTGCCAAGTTCAATTATCTGTACGGTATTCATGTATGCACAACCAACAATAAAAAAGTATCATATTCCACTAAGATCTATTAAATTTCCACAAGATATTATTGGATGTCAAAGTGTTAATTTATCCTCTTCTAACACTTTTCATTGTATCCCATTAAGAACCTACTACTTAGTGTTAAAATAACCTCAAAGGCTCCAAACCATCAAATTTTCAGTCATAAATCAATTTATAACTCGAATCCATTTTCTTCATGAAAACAGTAAAGTGACAGATTCGTCGACTTAGACGTGAATATTCATAGGATATTATCTAAGTCTTCAAAAATTACAAAATCACCTCTAAAAGAAAGTAGACACGTAGATCTTTCCAATGAGCTATTACACGCCTTCATCTGAGCTCTCTATGTACCTCATAAACAGTTCTTTTTTTCTTAATTTGACAGCTTTTAGAAAGTTTCAACAAGAAACTTCCATATGCACAACTCAGGCTACAAAACTCCAAATTAAGTGATTCCAACTCCCACACGACACTAATAACTTTTTCTAAGTGGTAAAGAAGACGGTTTAGGTGCAGCAACTATAAATCATAAAGTGAGCGTCTCGGTTCTCATTTTATCAATTCCTACAAAAGACAATTTTAGCGACTGTTACGGAAATAACCATAAAATATTCGACATAGTCTCAAAAATTACAAAATCGTGCCTAATCGAAGTAGACATCCAACTATTTCCATAGAGCTATCATAAGCTTGATTTTGAGTCTATTAAGACCTCCAAAAACACGTTATACCAGATCATGAATTGCTGATTTTTCTGCAGAATTGCAACAACCGCATCCAATTTCAAAATTTTATATTTTAGGCTATGGTTATCCATTTAAAGCGATTCTTGTCTCTAATCGAAGCTTATAACGTCTATTTTGTGGCCTTACAATCAGATAGATCAAAATCTAAGCAAGGAGATACAGTTTCATTCTTTTCCTTGGGCAGCCCCTTACATGTTTCAATAAAACATCATTCTTTACGCTAACTCAAAAGAGAAATCCCTACTAATGACTCCAACAAGGCTGGTACAAATCTTAATTCGCCCAAACTAAACTCTTAAGGTTCAAAAATAGGATGCAAAAGCTAAAGAAGCTTATTGAGCCAAAACATGGTGTTATAATCCAAACCTAACTATGCACAAACCTCAAAAGGGGAAGTATTCCTTAGTCACTCACAACTCAATGTTGAACAAAAATTACTTGACTAATTATGAAATAGAACATTAAACACATGAGATTCAAGCTAAAGAATTTCTGAAAATGAACAACATCAAACTTTAACCATAGAACTAGTTGCAAAGCAATCACACTGCAAGAACGCATCATCAAAGGGGATTATAACACATTTTCTAAATCTGAAATATTGAAATAAAATATTAAATTCTCGGAGAAATCCGGATTTAATAGAAATCCGGATTTAATAGCACGCAAGACAAAATTCATACCCCAACTTGAATATAATAGTAGAAATATAAAATCACAAGAAACATAACAAGGAATATAGATGATTCATCAAACAATAGCAAAATAAGAGATTTTTGACAAACTTTGAAATCACTCATTATACAAAATCATAAAATAATGCCAAAGAAGAATGAAAAGTAAAGAATTTTAAAAAGATTGAAGAATCAAAACAAACCCTACCTCTTGCTCTTGAATTCCACATGCAATTCTTCCAATCTAAAAGCTTAATCTTCTTAGAATCTCAAGAAAATCTATCTCCAATCTTAAAATTGACTTTAAAATGAACTACCCATAAAAAATGGAGCAAAAGCTCTCTGCTTAGAATCTTGGATTCTCCCATGGATGAGAGAGAGACAAACGAGAGATAGAGGGAGTGAGAGAGAACGAGATACAGAAAGAGAGGGAGAGAGAGATCACGTGAGAGAGTGCGAGGGAGAGAGAGGGAGATAACGTGAAAAAGAGAGAGGGAAGGAAGAAAAGAAAGAAAAAGAAAAAGACAAGGGAAAAAGGAAAAATAAGCTTGAGTTTTTTTTTTTTTTTTTTTTTTTTTTTTTTTGTGTGTGTGTGTGTGTGTGTGAGTTTGCAATCTTAATAAATACTATTTGAATGCACGAGATTTTTATTATTTATTATTTATTTATAAGTTTTTTAGTTAAATAATTATACTAATAAAATGATATTTATTAAGAGTAAAAATAAAAATTAGACTCATGCACTCTTAAAAATTTTTAGGCGAAATTATATTTTAAAGCCCAACTTAAATAAAAATATAAAATGGCTTAATAATTTTTTATCTAAAAAAATTAGTTACCAACACGTAAAATAGATTGAAGAACTAAAACATCAATTTAAAAATAATTATTTCAAATGTAAAAAATTCTTAATAAAATAATCATAACTGAAAATGAATTTTGATTAATTAATACTAATAATTGACTTAAATTAATTAATCTTAATTAATTTAATCCAGTGTTACAATTAATTTTTAATATAAGAACCGCAGATGGGCATGATGCTTTCGTACTTCAACTCTTTAGTTGCTTGTTTTTTTTTTTTTTTTTTTTTGTTGTTGTTGTTGTTGTTGTTGTTGTTGTTGGCTATCAAGCTTTCTTTGTTTTTTGTTTTTAATTTACTTTGCTTGCTTGCCTTTAAGTTTTTTCATTTATTTTCTCTTTAAACGGCTCATTTATAATTTTTTTTACTTGCATAAATATTTTCACTTGTGAATATTCTCCATTACTAAATATCTATACTTATAGTATAGAAGATGTATATATTTTTTCAATTTTTTTTAACCATCATTATGCATAATATGAAATTATTGATATTTATAGAACCATAATTTTATTTAAGTTAAAATTTAAAACTTCTTAATAATTTACACTGTAATTTGAAAAAATTTATGATTACTTTTTTTTTAGTTTGAAAAATAATTATAAGTTGGCTATCTTTATTTATGTCTATTCTTATTAAAACATTGTTGGCATCCCTTAAAAAAACTTGGTTAGCATTGACTTAAAAAATAATAAGTTGAATTATTAGCTCATTAATTAAGAATTCTCACAATAACAAGGTCTAATTAAAAAACTTGTTTGTATTGAAACATTACTTATCATACTAAATAATTTTAAATAAATTTGAAAAAAAAAATCCAAATTGCAAAGTGAAAAAAAAAAAAAATGTTAACCTCAAGCTAGTAATAGTATAAAGTTGGAAGAACAGAAAGAATCTAGTCCACATTTCACCACTAGAATACAAGGATATTGGTAGCTAAGCACAACTTGATTTTATCAGATAAAGTTAGTGTAATGACTACATTATGAATCCAATTGTTTTGCAGATTTTAGCCACAATTTAAGTCTTTTTTTGTTACAGTGTTTTCACTCACAAAACAAAAATTTGAATTTATATTCAAACGTACATTACTTTTTTTTTTTTTTTGACATTTTATTTGGCCCGCAGTCAATCAGGAAAAGATATTACACCTCTTGCAAATGAAAGCTTTGGGTGAGCTAAAGATTTTTGGAGCTGATCTAACTGAGGAAGGCAGCTTCGATGCCCCTATAGGAGGTTGTGACCTCGTCTTCCATGTTGCAACGCCTGTTCACTTTGCCTCAGAAGATCCAGAGGTAAAGAAAAGAAATATCATGTTCTTAGCAACTTCTGGATCCATCTTAATGACAAAGCTACTTTGGCCTTTTCTGAACGTGTTTTATAGAATGACATGATCAAGCCAGCAATCCATGGTGTACTAAATGTTCTCAACTCTTGTGTCAAAGCGAAAACGGTTAAACGTGTCGTCTTGACGTCGTCTGCTGCAGCTGTTTCAATCAACAGGCTTAGCGGGACAGGCTTGGTTGTGGACGAAGCGAATTGGAGTGACATTGAGTTCTTGACTACTCAAAAACCACCTACTTGGGTAACACCCAACTTTAGTTTTCTTCTCTCATTCCATTTCATGCCTAAGAAACTTATGTATTGAATAAGAGTGCTTAAACCAAGCTTAATTGGTCTGACTTTGCAGGGCTACCCTGTGTCCAAGACACTAGCTGAGAAAACAGCTTGGAAATTTGCTAAAGAAAATAACGTTGACCTCATCACTGTGATCCCTTCTCTCATGGCTGGCCCTTCTCTTACTCCTGATATTCCCAGCAGTGTTGGCCTAGCAGCATGCTTACTTTCAGGTAATTTTGTAACCACAATATGCCATGTATGAATAGGCATACCATTAATTGACTTCATAGATGGATAGAGTGTTTTAACATTGGCATTCTAACATCTCGCAGGAAATGATTTCCTCATAAATAACATAAAAGGCATGCAAATGCTGTCAGGATCGATATCCATTTCGCACGTTGAGGATGTCTGCCGAGCTCACGTATTTTTGGCTGAGAAAGAATCGGCTTCTGGTCGTTACATTTGCTGTGCTGTGAACACCAGTGTTCCTGAGCTTGCAAAGTTCCTCAACAAAAGATATCCTCACTGCAAAGTCCCCACTGAGTAAGCACCAATAACCTATATTGAATTTGAATGTGATTGCTTAATTCAGCTTTTCAAATTAACAAAATCTCTAGTAATTAATGCTCTACTTTTTTCTCATTTGCAAATTGCAGTTTGGGAGATTTTCCCTCCAAGCCCAAGTTGATAATCTCCTCAGAGAAGCTGATTAAGGAGGGATTTAATTTCGAGTATGGGATTGAAGAAATATATGATCACACCCTGGAGTATTTGAAGACTAAAGGATTGCTTCACATCTGAAAGTCTCAATAATTGGTGATCTTAATTTCTACATGTATTTGATAATGTGTAATAGGATTTTTAATTAGCTCATCTTGCCTGGGCATGCGTGCTCTAATACAATAAAATTAGGATTATTATCACTTATGCCATATGAACTTTAGGGTCATTCTCAATTTGTTGCATAAACTTTAAAAACTCTCACTTTATCCCTGAATTTTAAATTATTTCCACTTAACGTCTTTTGTTGCAATTTCTGTTAAAAAACATATAGAAAAAAAGAGAATAACGCAGTCACGTGGTCTTTCTATTTAGATTTATGTTAAAAAGAAACATATAGAAACCACGTAACCACATTTAATCCCCTCTTTTTTTTTTTTTTTGATTTTCACAGAAATTATAACAAAGTGGTTAAGTGAGAATAATTCAAAATTCATGGGGCAAACACGTGGTCTTTCTATTTAGATTTATGTTAAAAATAAACAGATAGAAACCACATAACCACACTTAATCCCTTCTTTTTCGTTTGATTTTCACGGAAATTATAACAAAGGGGTTAAGTGAGAATAATTCAAAATTCATAGAGTAAACTGAAAATAACTCTAAAGTTCAAAGGCACCCGTGAGAATAATCCATAAAATTAGGATTGTAATTAGCCTTTTCCCTTTGTGGAAAAAAAAAAAAAAAAAAGTCTGGCAACAAGCTAATGTAATTGTCTCAAGTTAGAACAATTTGCATCCTTAAAATGTCATTGTCCTTTTTTTTTTTTTTTTTTGGGTGGAAGATTAGAATGTACTTTGACCTGTTAATTTGAATACTATCTATAGCTTAAGAAAACACCCTAGTTCGGCTTCTCATGTCACTCATGATGTTACTTGGATTTAAATATAATTTTACGAAGAAAGAATTTTAGCACTTGCAATCCTAATTTTTTATTTTTTATTATTTTTTTGAGTTTTTATTTTTTTTTATCAACTATATGGTCCTTGAATTTACAGAATAGCATAAATTAATTGTACCCTTTGAACTTGTCATATTTGGCAGTTTCTTTTTAAACTATTTATCTTAACTTAATTCTTGATATATCAAATTAGGAAGGATAAAGCTACAATAAATTTATGATTTATTTTAAAAACAAAGCCGGTTATACCTGTAAGGCCCACAGGTGTAAGGGTGAGTAGTGTGTCAAATTATATAATAGGGAAATTATAATAACACCCCAGCGATTTTTTAGTACACCCCGTAATCAATTAAAAAGACTAAAAAGGACAACTTATCAAATCGAACTCACAAAATTAATAACGCTGTTATATACACCTTGCTTGCTTCATCAAGGTTTTAATCAAAGCCCTAATTTTGTCGGTCATCTCTTACTCTCTCTCACTCTCGCTCAATCCCTCTCTTTTTGTCTTTCAATTTTCTTTTTCAGTATTTTTTCCTCCCTCCATCTCTATTCAATATTCAATCTCCTTTTGGATACTTAAATAATTAAAAATCAGTAATAACATTTCGGCTTTTGATTTTTCTTCTCCCGGTTTTGCTAACAGATTAAGAACAATATTAGCACGCTAGCTGTTAATGTGCAAAACAAGAGCAACTGAAAGAAAGAAAGAAAAAAGCCCCTAATAAGAAAAGAAAATGAAAAAAAAGGACAAATAGAAAAAGATAATAAAAGAAATGGGATAAATCATGGAGAACAAAATCTTATATAGTTACCGCATGGAGTTTTATTTAGGTTGCCATTCATTGTTCAGTGATCTTAAATAAGTAACTTTCAAAACAAATTTCTTTATTTTTGTTCCGCAGAACAGATACAAAGGAAAGAGGTGACCCTATCCAGGTTTCCAAAAAGATATCGTTGGTATTTCTTTCTTTCAAGTTCCTCTTAAATGTCCTCTTTTGTCTTTTTATTAATTGGGGTGCCTTTATAAATTTTAAGGGTGTCAATAAAATTCCCCAACATAATAAAGAGAAAAATACACAATTTATCATGATTTTATACGTGTCTATTATTTAAGTCATTTTAAATAATTGAGTGTTATCATTTCCTTTTATTTTCTCTTTATTAAGTGAATAACAATTTTTTTAGTCAAATGACATAAATAATATTTAATTTTTACCATCTTGGATAGTATTTTTAATTTTTTTTCCAAAATAAACTTTAAAATGGGATTTTTTTCAGCAATGAAAACAAACATTTTCAATTGTGAAAGGGACACAAATATCTTTAGAGAGCGTATGGTATAGATCGTAACAAAAATACTATTATCCTACTACTAGAAATATTAAATTCATACCTTCCACATTTTAAAATCCTCTTTAGGGGTGTTCAAAAAATATGTCAAACTATCTAATTCAATTAAATTGAACTAAATCGTTAATTATTTTTGAATTATTTAGCGGTTTAGTTTATGATTTGGACTTTCTAAATTACCAAATAACCGAATTGAACCTTTTAATGACTTTTCCGTGTTAATTAAAAAGTTAAACTATTAATTAGTATAGTAACTCACAACCTTATAAATTAGTGTTTATTTTTATATTTAAATAACATGAAACTTGGATCTATTGTATCCTTACACGTAGGTGTATTTAAAACCGTGTAGTTTTTCAGTTGGAAATTATGGTTTGGGGTTTTATAAGTCAAACTCTAAAGTTGACCATAGAACTAGTGTATAGTTTCTTTAGAAAAACGATATCCACTCCCTAAACGTTTATGAAAGGCTAAAACACGTGCAACAGGTGTTTCTTTCTTTCACGCGTTACATGGACGCTAAATCTTGTGTACTTGTCTTTTCATGCATGCATGTCGAAGCCATATGTATAGTCAATGAGTTGTTCGGTCATCATTGATAAAGATAGCTAAAGCCGTTTATTTCACCGATTTGAATTCAAATCAGCGAACTAAACGGACCCTAAAACTCTATTTATTTCGTTGATTCGGGAAGTGACGAAAATATATAACAGGCTCAAGCTTCAAATATTACTTTTCTATATTTACAGTTACATATGGTTATTGATACAAAATATATATAGTTCCTCCTAAAAAATAAGAAATTTATTTTATTCTCCCAACATTGAAAAATAGTACTTTAAATCAAAGTTAAATAATATCTCCAAATTCTTAACAATATCTTTTATTCCTTAATAATAGCTTTGATTATATATTGAAGTAAATCATATTGTTTTTCCCTTATTTTCTTGTCTCTTGTTTTTTGTTTCTCACTGTTGTACATGTCCTTTTCTTTTTTTAAAAAAAAGTGAACAAATTAACATATTAAGCAAAGTGTATAATTTTATGCAATAATATTGTTAGATAGAAAAAATACAACATGATTTCAAATATAATCAATTAGACATAGAATAATTGAATTAACAAAAAAATAATCAATTTAACCATAAAGTTCTTATGAAATTTCAATCGTGTCCTCACTGTATAAAAAAACTTATAATCGTATTCTCACTGAATAATCAAAATGTATACATTCACTTATTTGATAAAAAAAATTCTCTCTAATCTTTTTCATAATAGTCCTACTAAAAAAATTTGACTCCATCATTGATTAATTAGCCCCCCGCCCCCAACATCCCCCCACCACCGAATTTGTAGTTTAAAAATGTAAGTAGGGATGGTACGTAATTAATAGGGCATGTTTCCCCAACTCCCAAACCGTACCCTTTTTTACCCTCATACCGTCTAATTTAAGGCGGGATTGAGTTGAGTTGAGTTGAGTTGATTGCATGAAAATTGTTTTGGATTTTCAATCCTATGTGACAAATAATCCTACATGGTATTTGTGAACCATGTGGAATTTGTAGTTTTTTTTTTTTTTTGACAATCTTGTACAAAATCAATTTAATTAGTTGTTGTTGATTTTCTCAATATTTCGATTTTTATCCGTTTGCAATTTGCATGATTTGTTACCATATTTAGCTGATTTGATTGAAGATTTTGCATATTGAGTTGGCTGTCAACTTATGTTTATTTTTGGGCTGATATTTGGTTTTTATTGCATGATAATTGTGCTGATTTTGTTGATAATATTTTAGTCAAATATTTGTCACAATTAATTCTGTAATTATTCCAAATTCGGTTTTTGTGGATTTAATCCTTGTGTGAAATTGAGTTTAGATTCATCAGAGGATCCGTCTATTTATTGAACAAGGTAAATAAAAAATGATTAAAAACTTAAACTGAGTTGCATGATATTCATTTAATAATGACCGGACTTGATAACAAACAAAAGTGCAGTATGATATTACCTAATGAGCACAAGCGACGTTAAGAAGAGAGAAAAAAAGACAAATACTCAGAGTGAATAGGTCTCGAGTTTTACCCCTTATTCTTAATTAATATTCTTTTTAGTCAAATAATTATATTCATAAAAGGGTATTAGATTAAATGGTAAAAATTCAGACTCGTGCACTTTAAGGATAAGTTCAACAATTTTCTCTTAAAAAATAATAATAAAAAAAAAATCAAGTAATTTGACATTATAAAAAGATGAAAAATTTTGCTTAAAAGATAGATTAGCAAACAAATATAAACACAAAATGAAAAACAAAAAGTAAAAAAGAAATCTGCATACAAAAAATAGTAAAAAAAAACATACCTCCATGCAATTTTTCTAGAATAGTTATTGAAAAGTGAAAATTAGGGTCTAGTTATGGATTTTTGAAATAGAAATAGTTTACAATTTAAAAATATTAACGTGGGGTGGTCACTAGGGTGTGTGAAGAGAGAGAAAAAACTCTCACTATTAATTTCCCTTTTGTAATAAAATTTAATTCTATAATTAAGTCTATTGTCATTTTTTGTCATTTTATTTATGGGGCTTTTTATATTAATAAATTTGTAATTGAAGGGGTGTCAAGAATAAAAAAAAGGTTGTGCATCGTACCACCTTTTATGAAATTATTCCTATATGTTACTGACTTTTCTCTTTTGTGAAAGACATCATCAGATCACGCGGGGCTGGATGACATAATAAATTGTCTAAATGAGTCTATGGAATTCACATGAGCAATCTCTTATTCTAATACAGTTTTAAAAACAAACATCATATTTAAGTATCTATAATTAAATAGTGATGTACAGCAAAATATCCGCCCTGTTGGGAAGAAGAATCAAAATAAAATTATTGTAGGTCCTATCAAGCTTTTGTGATTTTGTTTGCTTTCATTTTTAAGCATCCGTATAGTTCGTTGATTTGAGTTTTTAATTCGAATTGAGATGTGATTTATGTGAGAGCTTTTTACTATAGTGAAAAAATTAGATGTGATTATTTCTGAGAGTTTTTTACTATAACAAAACTCAAATTCTAAACTCGAATCAGTAAAATAAACGAGACATAAATGTGTACGAAGATATTCAATTTACCCAATTCTGACGTAATCCATAATCTGAACTTGGCTTAAGGAATAGTACTATCTAACATTCCTGTCATCCAAGTGGCATAGTAAAAACATGTCTCTTATAATTAAATCAATAAAAAAATATATTTTTAAAAGACATAAATGTGTACGAAGATATTCAATTTACCCAATTCTGACGTAATCCATAATCTGAACTTGGCTTAAGGAATAGTACTATCTAACATTCCTGTCATCCAAGTGGCATAGTAAAAACATGTCTCTTATAATTAAATCAATAAAAAAATATATTTTTAAGTAGTACAAATTTATATTTTGAATGGCATAAACGTAAAAGTAGGAAAAAAAAAAGAAGATAATAGTATACATACGTTATTTTCTCTTAATAATGAATATTGTATTAGGTACCAATTTATTTGGGAAGCTCACAACTTTCTTGATATTAGTTTTCCCTTCTTTTTTTATTATTGTTTTCTTTAAAGCAGTAGTGGAACAAACAGTTTCTTTCTCCAATAAAGAAAAACAATTTTTTACTTTTTTATTAATGCTTCCTGAAAGGTATTTTCTTGACAACACTTATTTTTCTTCCCGTTAAATGGGACAATTGGGGCGGAGGATTTGCATATAAATTTTTCATATCTTTTCTTTTACCAATCAACATAAAATCTTCATTTTTATGTACTTAGGTATACCAATTGTACACAAAAAAGGAAAAAAAAAAAAAAAATTCCATCAATCTATATTTATTAACCTTTTCTTCCTGATTCTTTTATTTATTTTTCAAACTTAATGAAGTATGAACAGTGAAGTGCTTATGCGAACGCAATTTGAGGTCATGGGGTGACGTATACATCGTTAAACATGCATGCTGGTCCAGTTTTTCTCTTAGTACAACAACTATTTTTTTTATTTCTTTTTTGATAAAGAGTACAACAACTATTTAGTTGTCGTGTTGTCATCTTAAATATCTTCTCCTCAGCCTATATAAACTCATCCAATGTTTGGTATGTGCATACCAAATACTCCATAAGCTGCTACTATCTAGCTAGCTACCAAATTGAAACTTTAGCCAAAAAGTACAGTATGGAAAGTCAACAAAAGCAAGCTGAGCCAATTCAACTTGAGTGCCAAGACAATTCTCATGTAGTCTTTGATGTACCACATCAAAGACGATCCGCCAATTACAAACCGAGCATTTGGAAATATGATTTCCTAAAGTCACTTAACAGCACATATGATGTAAGAATTATTTCAATCCTTGTTTCGTTATAACAAATTACACTTTCAGATGCTTTTTTTTTTTTCCCCGAAATGCCTTTGTGAACGTCTGGTACGTTCTCGGGACTACAAGAAATAAATGTGTCAACATTACGGCTCACAGTACTACGTAGTGTTTGGTCACCAATTGTGCTTAATAACCCACTTTTCTGTGATCTACTTTCTCATCCTGTTAAAATTATTTGTTTGATGTTATGTACACACACACATTACGCACGCACGCACCATTATATTCGTTATGGTATATATAATTACCTTAATTATTAGTGCTAACATATTTATTATCTCATGACTTGTGTAAATTTTTAGAATAAGATGTTAGATTTACATAAACATTCATATTCTTATTTGATATTCAATAAAAATACTCCTTACGCATCTGTTACTGTTTTCTACTACAGAAACACTCTGGATATATGTGCACTCATGACATATATATGTACAAACGAAAACTACAATAATTTAGCATTTGCATACACGATATGTATTTATGTGTGTGTGAAGCGCCACTAATTTTTCATGAAATAACCCACTAGAGTAACTAATACTATATGATGTATACGATTCTATGCAGAAAAACGAATACAGAAAGGAGGCTGAGAAGCTTATTCAAGACGTGAAAGACATATTTATTGAAACGGAGGACTTGCAAGCCATGTTAAAGCTAATTGACAGCATTAGAAAACTAGGCCTGACGAATCATTTTGAAGAGGACGTCAAGAAAAGTCTCGACACAATAGCATCTACCCATAAGAGCAACACATATTCTTTCATTCAAAAGAATGATCTCTATCTTACTTCATTATGTTTCAGGGTCCTTAGGCAGCAAGGATATCAAGTTTCACAAGGTATAATCTATTATTCTTATAGAAAATGTTTGATCCGCAAACTTTCCCAATAAGGAATTTTGCACATTTCCAAGCATTTGTAATTGGAACTCGAGTGGAATTAATTTGTCCGGAGTTATACGTAACCAATTTGTCTATGATATAATTGATACACTGTGGTATCAAGTTGTCGGCCTGATCAATATACCAAATATTTTGATTGAAATTCTATGTGTGACTTGACATGATTGTATGGAAACAGACATATTTTGTGGTCTCATGGACGGGAAAGGTGTGATAGAGAAAAGTTTACATATTGAAGATATCAGAGTGATGCTGGAGCTTTTAGAGGCCTCACATGTAGCTTTAGAAAGTGAAAATATCCTGCATGAGGCTAAAGCTTTCATAACAGAAACCCTCAGAAATTCCATTTCTAGTGTTAGTCAAGAAAACATGAATGATGACCTTTCCAAAGATGTGGTCCATGCTTTGAAGATTCCGTCACACTGGAGGGTTCAGTGGTTCGACGTCAAATGGCAAATGGAGGCCTACGAGAGAGACAATCACAGGCATATCTGTTTACTTGACTTGGCCAAGCTAAACTTCAACACGGTTCAAGCCACACTTCAGAAGGATCTTAGAGAATTATCTTGGTAATTAGAAATACCTCCATCTATATATAGGCATTATTATGGTCCTCCAAGAAACATCATACTTTTACTGTAACATATATATATATAAATGAAAATATCACATGACATTTTTTTAAAATAGTAGTGACTTTTAAAAGAAATTTATATTATCGCGCATGTCTTGTTGCCACACATGAGTTGTGACAGCTGTACTTTTCTCTGCCAACAAATTTAATTTATTAATCATACGTGTCATTTAGTTGGTGGAAGAATCTGGGCCTCACAGAGAAGTTGAACTTTGCAAGAGACAGGCTGGTTGAAAGTTTCATGTGCGCTGTGGGACTTGCTTTCCAACCTCAATACAAATGTTTAAGAAAATGCCTTACTAAGGTCGTCAATTTCATATTGATAATCGATGATGTTTATGATCTTTATGGCTCACTGGAAGAGCTTAAGCACTTCACCAATGCCGTCGATAGGTCAGTTTCGAAACTCAACCTTAATTATATGCATACGGTTAAATATTATTGTACAATTATTTGCTAACTAGGCGTCGTCTTAAATTCAGGTGGGATGTCGAGGAAACTGAGGAACTTCCAGATTGTATGAAGATTTGTTTCCAAGCACTTTATAAAACCACTTATGAAATTGCTAATGATATTGAGGCTGAGAACGGTTGCAAACAAGTTTTACCCCATCTGCGGAAAGTGGTATACATATATACGTTTAAAAATCAACGTGTTGTTTTGAATCTTATGTAATGTAAATTAGTTCTAATTATTATGGTTTAATATTAGTGGGCAGATTTTTGTAAAGCATTGTTGGTAGAGGCAGAATGGGATCAGAAGGGCCACATGCCATCCTTTCAGGAGTACTTGAGCAATGCATGGATTTCATCGTCAGGCCCTCTTCTTCTTCTTCATTCATTTTTCTCTATAACTACACATGAAGTTGCCGAAGACATGTCGGGTTTTCTTGAGAAAAACCAAGATCTTGTGTACAACATATCTCTCATAGTTCGGCTATGCAACGATATAGGCACTTCAGCGGTAATCAATTGTCGTTTCTTGACATACCAAACCTAATAACACAATCGTTTCCTTTTAAGCTTAATCTCGATATATAGGATACATTTTCGACTTTATTGTTGCAGGCTGAACAAGAGAGAGGCGATGCACCTTCATCAATACTATGTTATATGGAAGAGATGAGCGTCAGTGAGGACATAGCTCGGAAGCATATTCGAGGCATGATTGCCAAAACATGGCAGCAGATTAACAAGAAATGCTTGACTGGCCAAGTGCCCACTACTCTATCTTCCTTTGTCAACATTGCGCTAAACACTGCGCGCGTGGCCCATAGCCTGTACCAATCTGGAGATGCCTTTGGCCTTCAAGTAACCGATAATCGGACTCAAATTCTGTCTTTACTCATGGAGCCTCTCACAATACGAACCAATTAAGGAGACGCTTGGTTCACAGATTAAAATCATGAGATTAAAATTATTTTTGCTCATGGAGCCTCTCACAATACGAACCAATTAAGGAGACGCTTGGTTCACGGATTAAAATCATGAGATTAAAATTATTTTCAATTTATTTGTATTTTTTATGAGAAAAAACATTGTAACAAACCATAAACTATAATTTAAATCATAGTATGAATTCTCCTACCAAACGTCTCCTAAAAGATTTAAATTACTTGTTTCATTTTGAAGTTCAAATAGTGTCATCCACCATATAAATCATGCTATATTATTTAAGAAAACTAAAACTATTATTAACTTTCATGCTTATTCACTAAATGATGTGGCACAACATGGTTTCGTTAAACACCAAAAACTTGAATATCATGGTGATTTGAGTCCCCAATTAGCATTATTTTTTTAAGAACCCTAAAAACTCTAACAGTAAATCTTAAATATACACGGTAAATTCAAGATTTGCCTAAAGTAAAATTATTTGAAAAAGAACAGTATAAATTTTAATGGTAAATCCTGCGTATACACAGTAAATTCAGAATTTGTCATGTAACGATCATCAAGATCAGGCCGTCATTAATTAGTAATAATTAAAAATTAATAAAAAAAAAGACAATTTATTAAAAAATTAATAAAATATAAAACTAAGATTTACTATAAGAAAATATATTGCTTCGGAGATTTTAAATTTTACAAATATCACAAATTGACCAACACATAATATTTCTCTCAAATAAATACAACCTGGGACAGATCGATTAAATCTGTCATTTACACGAGTGACAACACAACTTTAGAATTTAAATAACAAATACCAATAGAGTAACATAAATCGAATCAACGCTCGGTCCTCTAGAAAACGCATCCGCCACGATAACTTGCTTACTAAGAAAATACATGGAGTTGGGGAAAAGATAAAATGGGTGAGCCGAAACCTTATAGGGTGGAATAGGGATACAACAATCGAAAAACAATGAAATAACAATGTAATAATGACGCGATATCAATTAAACAACAAATGTATGACACAAAGTAAAATGTAACAAACCAATGGGTGAAATATACTTCAATTAGTGCAACCAGCCAAGTTTAAAATAAACAAGTTTGAAATAAATCACGCGTGTTTCAGGACTTGCCCTTAAAGATGTGCACTCCGCTCCACACCCCGACATCTCTAAAATAACGGCCATTAAGCAAAACCACCTATCTAGTCTCTGTTCAGATAGGATTTTATAATCTCTCTAAACAAATCCCATCCCAGAAATTCACTTCCAGAACTACAAGTCACGAACTTAAATGCCTTGGGAAGGTTGTTCATTATAACAACATAGTAAGCTCATATTATTAACATTACCCATGTCCAATCTTATCATTAAAGCATGCAAAACTCATTCTAATCAAATAAAAAAATGTGAAAAAAATAAGTAAAAGATGGAAACAAACTGGTCAAACAGGCAAGGACAACTGGGTCTCTCCAATTGCCCCTTCCAAGTCCGATCGTACGAACAAAGATGTCCCATCAAACACATTTACAAAAAGATTTATAAATTGAGTTATAAGTGATAGAAGTATAACACATCTTGCCTCAAGGAAAAAAAATTTTTCTTCAATGCACTTGAGGCTAGCTCAATTGATTGGGTGCGTGAGTGTGTGAGTGTATGATCCGACTTTCAAGGTTCAAATGCTAATGGTTTCATTTCTTCTTAAACAGTGGTAGCCATAGGCCCCACATATACCCAATATATATATATATATGGGGAAAGAGATAAATCACTAATGAAAAATATTTCCAAGTTAGGCGTTTCGCATGTCACATTATGCAAGCCATGAAAAATATATCCAAGTTAGGCATTTCTCATGTCACATTATGCAAGCCCATTTTTGCATCATTTGTTAAAACTTTGACTTGTTTCAATTCCTATTTCTAGCATATAGTGTTTACTGTTGGAAATTCGAGATTGATTGGAATCCCAAGATTTCTGTGAATAGCAGCAGTAATTGTAGGGACAGATTCGTGTTTCTAATTGATTGCTGATTTGTTGTCGCAGTACAACTTCATAGGTCCTTCCCACTTGATTCCCAAATCATCCAGGATGATCTTAAGCCATAACAATTCACAGTCCTTGGGCTATTGCTCTGAACTCAGATTCCACACTCGACCTAGCTACCGCATTCTATTTTTTGATTCTCTACCAAATTATCACCAAGAAACGTGCAATAGCCCGATGTGGACCTTCTATCCACTACGGATCTTGCATAGTTTGCATTTGTATAGGATTCCATTGTGAGTCTATTATTCCTTCTGAATAGGATTCCTCACCCTCTCAAGTAGTGTAACACCCTGTAGGCAGCTTGAAGATGTGATTCTCTCAAATCATGCATAAATTGACTTATCATGCTCACTGAATATGCTATGTCTAGCCGAGTATGGGAAAGATAGATGAGTTTCCCTATGTCTTAAATTGTGATTCCTTTTTCCGACCGTTCTTACCAACCCAATCCGAACGGTTAGAAACACTCTTAAATTGAGATTCCATTTTCCGACAGTTCTTACCAATCCAATCCGAACGATTAGAAACACTCTTAAATTGGGATTCTATTTTCCGACCGTTCTTACCAACCCAATCCAAACGGTAAAAAACACTTAAAAATCAAACCGCCTTTTCCGACTGTTCTTATCGGAACCAATCCGAATGGTAAGAAACACTCAAAAATCAAACCGCCTTTTCCGACCGTTCTTATCCGGATCAATCCGAATGGTAATAAACACTCAAAAATCGATTTCTAACCGTTCTTACAAGTTTCAATTCGAGGGGCGAGAATAAAACACAATCCACATGTCCTCGGTCATTACTAACCTTTCTTACGTATAGAAATCTAAAGAAAATCGAAAAAATAAAATCAGAACCTATATGTAAGAAAACAAGCAACAAACCAAAAGATCATCAGAACGTCAATAATGGATGCATCACGCACCAATGTAGCACTGTAAGACCAAGGTTAATTTAACTTCTTTATCTTAATTTTTGTTGAACATGATTGTATTCTCATAAGTGTAATTTCACCTTATGTCAAGACTAAGTCCATAATTCTCTTCTTCATATATTCTACCTAATCCTTTCAATGTATATATTTATATATAGATATATCTACGTATATATCTCCATGTGAAGATCTATTTCCCTTAATCAAATGTATTCTCTAAATTATTTATTTGCTAATATTTTGTTACTAATTTCATGGTCCCTCGACCCTATCTAAGCGTTCTTATCGGTACTGGAAAGAAAGAACAGAATGCATTCACAAGCTCTCGGTCCTTTCTGACTGTTCTTACCGGTACCCGTAAAAAAGAACAGAATGCATCCACGGCCTCTCGACCCTTTCTGACTGTTCTTACCGATACCGGTAAGAAAGAATAGAATGCAATCACGGTCGCTCAGCCCTTTCTGACCGTTCTTACCGGTACCTGTAAAAAAATAACAGAATCCATTTACGATCTCTCGGCCGTTTCTGATCGTTCTTACTATTACCGGTAAGAACGGTAAGAAAGAACATAATGCATTCATGGTCACTCGGCCCTTTCTGACCATTCTGACCGGTAAGAAAATAACACAATCTATTCATGCTCTCTCAGCCTTTTCTCACCGTTCTTACCGGTATCGGTAAGAACCACCGTTCTTACCGGTACCGGTAAGAACCACCATTCTTACCGGTACTGGTAAGAACGATCAGAAACATACACAAACCATACTTGGCATCTCGGCATTTTCTGACCGTTCTTACTGGTACCGATAAGAACGATAAGAAACATACCCAAACCATACTTGGCCACGACTGCAGGTCAAAAAACAAAACGTAACTTAGATAAATCCACAATATGATATAAAAGTCAACCTTCTGCGGAAGAAAAAAACCAATGTTATACAATTCCTCAGTCAAATACACATTAAAAATATTAAATACAGTTCACAAAAACTATCCACTCATAAATGGCCGCGATCTTCTCTTGTACTTTAAGGATCTGTAAATGAGGTTCTCTTGTACTTTAACTGCTTTGATTGCCTTTTTGGTCGTTCATCAGGTTGCTCAGCCTCAGCATTTTGGTCGATCTTGCTTTCCTTGAGTAGTAGATCCACAATCATCACATTCACCCACTTCATTATGTTGAATTCCAATCTAACCACCAATATCATCATTTCGGTCGTCGCCTTCACAAGCGTCAATGAAAACCTCCCTTTGACAAATGTCTTCACCGTCTCCACGTTCTTCATGAACAGAATACCGCGTCGACACACAAGAAGCCAAGTCCACAACGACTTTTGTTAGTGAATCTAATTTCCTGTCAATCACCTCCATCTTATGATTAACATGATCAATATGATCCTTAAGCTCACAGATCATCCTGATACATTCTCCAATTACTGTTGTTGTCGAAGGTGTTGTTGTATTATCTGCATGGACTTCATCACAGACTCCCTCAGGTGTAGGATCTTGACCACCATCTTCATCTCCTAGACATCTTTCCTCATTGTAACCACCATCACGAAGAAATGAACGACGACTTGCCACATCATTGCGCCAGATGTCCTCAAAGAATATACTACTACCAGATAGTAGAAGGTTCATCCACTTATTGACAATGGCGTTGGGGGGCTCCACATCAGCAATAAAGCCCTGCATGTGCGCAGCATACAACTCCTATGTGCTCGGCACAAGGATGCTTTTTGTTTCCAACAAGTTAATAACTTAGAACTAACGACCTATGTGTACTTAATAAATCAAATTAAACTAATTTGTGAGATCATAACCTTCGTATCTCCTAACACTTGCATAATGTGCTCTAATTTCAGTGCCTGTTTTTTCTTGTACTTGGTTATCTATCGTTAAATTTTAGCCACCAGTCCAGTGATATCGTCCCTTAACCATGTAGACTCTGGTAAAAGGGCCGGGATACACTCGAACGGTAATAACTACACAAATTAACAATCTCAATTCA